TAGCATTGTATTATACCTAAGTAGTAAGCCTTTAACACGCTCTTTTTCGCTGCCCATTTCATTTTATGCCCATCTACCTACCTGGCCTAGGTACCTATTCTATTCTATCCTATCCTATCCCATCCCATCTATTCTCTATTCTATTGTGCAAAGTATCTGATTACCAGATACCTACTTTCCCTTTCCCCTTCCCTTTCCCCTTCCCTCCCTTACCTTTCTCTACCTGCCCTGCCGTTCCCTTGGCTGGCCTTACCTTCCCTTATCAATTTCGGTCTGTTCTTACATTTACGCTGTACGTCTACATGCAAATCGTACACCTACCGAACATTGCACATCTCCATCGTACGCAATCCCCCCATCACCAAAACACAATCAATTGAAGAGAGCATAAAACCCGACGACGACGACGACATCTGATCATTCATGTGAGTACCTGCCTATGCATTCAAAGAATTAATTACACACCCCCCTCTCTCGTCCAAAAATGTCCCTAAACTCCCTTCAGCCCAAGCCCCAAACTTTACCAACAACTTTTTGCAGTTAATCCACCCCATCCAACCCCCATCCACTCAATCCCCCATCCATCCACCCACCCACCGCCTTCGCCGCCTGCGACCAAAACCCAAACCACCCAAACCACCCAAAACCTTACTCACCATTCCCTTAACCTCTCACCACTCACCTCTCACCTCTCACAACCCAAAACCCCAAACCCTTCTTTCCTAATCTCATCCATTCACAATCCCTCCCAACCCAAACCACCACCCATCCTAAAAATAATCAAAGAGAAAATATCATCTTTTGGGGACAATATCATTGGGGATTGCATTGAATGTCCCCTTTTGTGGCAGTAGCAAAATACTCTTCTTCAACCTGGCTAATACGATAAACCCCATCCGCCTACAGTCATCGCGTTCATTTCCCACCCCCCCGAAAAAGCATCTCTCTCTCGACCTTAATTTGTTGATCTTCAATCCTACTTCCTGGTAAAAAGGCAACAATTCATTTAGCCTATCAATTTTACTTTGACTTTCAATTCCGATCATCGAATTCCAACGGCCTATTTCTACATCTTTCAATTTCTTGAGCTCAATCGAGAGCTCCTAATACAATCACGATGGCTTCATCATCGTCTAATGTCGTCGGCGTTCATTATCGCGTAGGGAAGAAAATCGGAGAGGGTTCTTTCGGTGTCATCTTTGAGGGAACAAATTTACTCAATAATCAACAAGTGGCTATCAAATTCGTACGTTCTTCCTCATCGTCGCCGCCATCGATTTGATTCTTTCATCTGCGAAGATGCATTGATCGACATAAAAGGGGGAAGGGTGCTTCAAATCGTTTGGGTTTACTGACAATATTATCATGAATAGGAGCCTCGAAAGAGCGACGCTCCACAATTGCGAGATGAATATCGAACTTATAAGATTCTTGTTGGCTGCCGTGAGTACATCAATTACGACGTTCTTGAGGTCGAGATACTAATCCATTGTAGCTGGTATTCCTAATGTTTATTACTTTGGTCAAGAAGGCCTTCACAACATCCTTGTTATCGATCTCCTTGGTCCATCGTTGGAAGATCTATTCGACCACTGCAATAGAAGATTCTCAACTAAGACTGTGGTTATGGTAGCAAAGCAAATGGTTCGTTCTCTTCTTCTAAACTGCAAAGGCTGAGTAACTTCGCATGTACTAATTCCAAAAACAGCTTTCGAGGGTACAAACCATTCACGAGAAGAACTTGATCTATCGAGACATCAAACCCGACAACTTCTTGATTGGCCGACCGAATACGAAAGCCGCAAATGTTATCCACGTTGTCGACTTTGGAATGGCCAAACAATACCGGGATCCTAAGACCAAGCAACACATTCCTTACCGCGAGCGAAAGTCACTGTCGGGTACTGCAAGATATATGAGTATCAACACGCATTTGGGAAGGGAACAATCGAGACGAGACGATCTAGAAGCTTTGGGTCATGTTTTCATGTATTTCTTACGAGGTGGTTTACCATGGCAAGGATTGAAGGCTGCTACCAACAAGCAAAAGTACGAGAAGATTGGTGAGAAGAAGCAAACGACCGCGATCAAGGATCTCTGTGATGGTTTCCCAGAGGAGTTCAACCAATACTTGAGCTATGTGAGGAACTTGGGCTTCGAGGATACACCAGACTACGATTACTTGCGGGATCTCTTCACTCAGGCTTTGAAGAACAGTGGTGAAGTTGAAGATGGAGAGTATGATTGGATGAAGTTGAACAATGGCAAGGGATGGGAAGCCATGAAGCAACATCCATCTCAACACATGCTACATCAACCAAATGCTGTCCCTGGGGCCTCGCAAAGAGAACTACATGGAACAACTCGAGGAGGGAATACAACACCAGGTCACCTCACTGCCGCCCGTTTAAACGCCGCACAACCCCCGCCACCATCTCCGATAAAACCAGGGATGGGCAAGTCTCGCGACCGGCAAAACGCCCCAGGTGCGTTAGCCCCGAAACGCAACAGCGGAGCGGCGGGGGGCCTTCAGGATGCATCTACACCAGCAGGCTCAACTCAAGCCCAATTCCAGAACAGCTCAAACAATCTACCTCAAAGAATGAGCGCAGCCCAACAATCACCACTGAACACCAACGGGAGAGGACCATCAGAACAGCCGCAACCAACGGCAATGCAAAAGATCATGAAAGCTCTGTGCTGCGGTTAGTATGAATCTGCATTTCTCAGCAAATCAAAAATTCTAACAGGCGACTAGGTTGAGCACTTGTCCATAATTCATTTTTCATTTCAAAGAACTTTTTACGCCTCGACTCTTTCACTTTCCATGCCGTCTTCATATTGAATGTCGGTTATAATGAACACCTCAATTTACAAATCGTTTCAAATAAGATCATGTACCGGAGTTGCATCAGTTTGACCGCCAAGTCGTTTCTTAAAAAGCCTCGTCTTTGCTTTTGTGGTTACATACACCTTTTCCACGACTTTGAACCTGGATTTGAAACACGAAACTACATCCATCATAAACAAAATACCTTCGGTTGGCATTTGGAATTTGGCATCTGGCATTTGGTACTTCTTCAGCGAAGCACTTCAAGACTAATAATTGTTTTTCTTACATTTTCCCTCTCCGTCTCACCCTCTTTCTCACTCTCCCATCCAAAATATTATTCTTTGGCATCACAATTTCCCACTTTTCTCGTCGAATCATATCATGGCTCTCCTACGTACCAAGAAACGCTGGTCTTTAATTCAATATCCCCAAGGAAAAAGAAGTTTGGAATGGGTAGTGGGGGACACTTTTTACGATGTATAGCTTTTTGACCCGTTCTCTTTTTTTTCATCTTACTTCTTTGGAGCGAGCGGAGTGTCACGTCTCTTTTTTTTTTTCCAGTGACACTGCAGCAATGGCGAATTGGGAGTGTGGTGTGTATTCGTTTTTTTTTTTCCTGCTTGTCTGTGTGTTGTGGTGAGAGGGTTGCTACAATAGATGCATATGGGGAAGTTGATGGGGTGGATTGAGAGATGTGATGGGAGGAGATTCCTTTTCTTGTATGTTCTGATGGATGGAATGGATGGGCTGCATGTCATATCACTCTTTTCATCTTACTTCAGTAGCAACGAATGAGAGAAAAATGTGTATGTGGAAAGAAAAGTAATGGGGTCTGTCTTTTTTTTCTTCTCTCTCTTTTTTTTCTGAATCATGCGAAATAAAAGGGGTGGATTCTCATATCAGCATCAGGCAAATCAATCAATCAATCAATCAATCAAATCAAATCACAATTAAAATAGAGAGATGGGTCAGCAAAGTAGACGGAGCAGAAACGATAGTTTAATGGTAGTTGACAATGGGATCTTGGATCTTTTGGTGTGTAGATTTTGTTGATATTGTTGATTTGTAGATGAAGGTGCGAATGTAATGTAATACTGTGTGTATGTGTGTGTGCGGTATGTTATATATGTGCTACAGAGGGTGAATAGGTAGGTAGGTAGGTAGATAGGTAGTAGGTAAGGCATTGTGTTGCATCGTCTTGAATCGTATCGTATCGTACTATATCATACACATCATTCATTCATTCATCCATTCATTCACTTGTTCGTCGGTGAGATTGTCTACCTCTTCCTACTCACCCACGTACTCTTTGGTTTTTAGGTCTGGTATGATGGGATGGGATGGGATGGGAGAGGTACAATAGATTGATTGATAGATAGGTATGTATGTATTATATATATATTATCTGGTATTGATATTGTTATTGTTATTGTTATTGGCGTTATTAGCTACCTGCCTAGGTACTAAGTACTAAGTAGTCACTTAGTTTCTCCTCGCTAGCTAGGTACTACCTAATCACTAGGTGCATGTAGTATGTATGTATGTATGTATGTATGTATGTATGTATGTATGTATGTATGTATGTATGTATGTATGTATGTATGTATGTATGTATGTATGTATGTATGTATGTATGTATGTATGTATGGATTATGTACTATGTACTATATATGATGTACTATGTAGGTAATATGTAGCTACTATGATTATGGTGTTATGAAGTAGAATTTGGGTATTCAGGAATCTAGGTGTTGGAGTTGGAGTTGTGAGGGGAGATGTCTTTTTTTCGGTTTGGGGGTTAGGGGTTTGGGGTTTGGGGTTCATAGTTTCACAGGAGGAGGAAAGCCAGAGGGGAGAATAGAGAAAGAAGAGAGGTGTCATATAATTCTTTGATTGTGTAGCAGTGCGTAGCAGTGCAGTGTATGGTATTGCAGCGCATTCTTTACCTCATCCCGTCTCATCTCATTTTGGGTCGAATCAACCAGCTACACTAACATACATAGGTACATAATGAGAGTAAATCGTAAGTCTCTTCTTCATTATTCCGTTCCATTCTCCTCCCTTGGTTCTTCCCTCTTCGTTTCTCGCTCTTTCTCTCTCATTCTCCCTCTATCCTTCCCCCGAATGACAATTGCCGAATTGAAACATAACCACAGAAAAAGGACATCTAAGTCAATTTCTGCTTGATGAAGAAGGATCGCAGATGCGAGAGTTGCCATGCGCAAGTAATTCCCAAGACGACGAGTTGGATTAGTGTCCAGCGGACGACGCGCGCGTTGGTGGATTCGGATTGGTCGCGGAATTCGGCTTCGCGTTCCTAAGGGGGGTGGGTTGGTTTGGGTTTAAGGATTTGAGAATTGGGGGTTTGAAGTTGGAATTTGGGAAGGAGAAGGGGAGGTTTGGGGTACATAAAAATGAGGAAGAGCATAGTAGATGAATGTATAAAGAGCAAATAAACATCAGCGCTTACCCGTTGGAAAACCTGTTCCCTTCTAATATCCTGCAATCTGCCATTCAAATCCTTGACCTTTTGCACAATATCGTTGATTTTTCCCTTATCGTCACTTTCAATCTGGCTCGTCTCTCCAATTGCCATATCGAGAGTCAATTTAATACCGCCATTTGAATGTAATGCGCTGAGCCAATTGCTAGAACCGGAGGTGGAGGAGGGAGTAAAGCAGATTTTGTGGTCGCCAGAATCGGCGGCTGTGAAGGTGAAACGACCAGAAGATGAACCGGTTTGGAAAACTACTCGGTGGTCGTTGTCGAAGACTTCCTAAAGGGGGAGAGGTTAGTAGGTTGTTGGCATGCTTAGATATGACGGGTAGAAGTAGAGTGTAGATGGGACTTGAGGGGATTGGGCAAAGGGAGGAGAGGAGTATATACATACATCTACAGAAATAAAAATGTTTAATCCATCATGTTTACTCCATTGTCTTGTATTTTCATCGTATTCCTCAGCGGTATAATGGCCTACTACCAATGTGTCTTTGGGTAATTCCTCGAAGAAACATTTGGGTGCTGAGCCGTCGATATAAAAGTAGAGGGATTGAACTGGGGCAAGGAGGACGGAGAGAGCGGCCCCAATGAGGGGGAGAGATGTGCGCATTTTCGATTACCGGGAATTATATGCGTATTGTGAGGGTTGAAGTAGTGAGCTTGCGAGGATGATTTGATTGAGCTTGTTCAAGGCTTATATTCAGATGGATTGATAGAACACGTTCGCGACTTCTTGGACAGGGATATGTGGATTCACGTGCTGATAAGTTAGCGGTTGATAGCGGTTTGATGGTTGGGTTTTTGGGATATTTCGCGATCGCAATATTTCGTAGAAACATTGAACTATCTTTCAACAATCAATTCATCTTTTTCCCCTCTAATAATTCATCAACAGACACGTGTCTGTTGTATCTTCTTAAAGTGTCATTTTATTTTACGATACGATTCCAGAGAAATGATAAGATAGAAATTCCACTCACGCACCACAAAACTACGTAATTAATTCAAAATGACATCCCACGATGTTCGCGATATGCTGGATCTCCCCTCTAGCTCCTCGGCACCTCGACCGAAAAAAGTAAAAACTGTTGTCCAGAAACCGAAATTGGGGGGTCTGGCAAGAGAAGTTCAAAATCTGGGAGGAGATAATCCTATTGCGATTGTACCAGAGGAAGCGGTCTTCAAAAAGAAGAGATTTGGAAGTCGAAAACCGGCGACGAAATGGGAAGCGAGGAGTTTTAGGAATAGTGCGAGGAATGGGGATGGCCTGGTGCTGAAGCATTGGAGGAAGGTTGAGGGGAGGGAGAAGGAAAAGCAGAGGGAGAAAGATGCCGAGGGGGATACGGAAATGGGGGAGGATGGGGAGAAGGGAAAGGAAAGAGAAGAGGAGATAATTGAGGACTCGACCTTTGCAAAGTACAATGTGAAAGTGCAGGTACCGAATTATACCGATGAACAATACAAGGAAATTCTGGAGAGTGAGAATTGGTCGAGAGAAGAAACGGATTATTTGATGAGAACGGTTCAGGAATATGATTTACGATGGCCGGTTATATGGGATCGATACGAATATATACCTCAAGACATTCCGGAAGACATCATGGAAGGAGCGATAGCTAGACGAGACAGGACTATGGAAGATTTGAAAGTAAGATATTATACGATAGGTGCAGCTATGATGGCATTAAATAAACCTTTACATCAAATGAATACTGCGGAATTCGATTTACATCAAAAGATGTTGAATTTCGACCCTGTACAAGAGACAAGGAGGAAAGATTTCCTGGAAGGCGTTTTCACACGTACAAAGGAAGAAGCTCGAGAAGAAGAAAGTCTTATGGTGGAACTCAAACGTATTCTGGCTCGCTCGGAAAAATTCATGGAGGAACGAAGAGAACTTTACGCCAGACTCGATGCTCCTGCAAGTAGTTCTAATATTAGTGCTTTCATCACTAGTCAAGGTCTACATCAACTCTGTCAACAACTTCTCACCCAGGACAAAAGTAAGAAAAGAAAACCTATTCAAGAAGGTCAAACTCCTGGTGGTGCTACTCCTGTCACTGGTAATACGCCCGGTGGATATGATGCAAGACGAGATTCCAATGTTCGAGAATCCATCTCAGCACCATCAGGTAACGCTGGTAATGCTTCAGCAGTGGGTAATAAGAAAGGAAGCATATCGTCTATTCAAACACCATCAGATCGCCGCAGACTCACAGAAGAAGAAGAAAAGGTTTACGGTGTTTCGCATCATGATCGTTTACAAGGTGGTCCATATTTCCGTGGTGAAAAACTTATTAGACCGCTTACATCGAAGAGTGCAATTCAACAAGGTCGTATCAAAAATATGTTGGTTGAATTGGGCATTCCTGAGAAACCAATTATGGGCACGGCAGATGTCGCCCATGGTTATGATGAGTTATTCAAGAGTATTGGGATTCTGTTGGATAGTAAGAAGGTGGCTGAGAAGTTACAAACTGAAATCGATGTGCTGAAGGCACAGTTAGAGGAAAAGAAGAGGAGGAGAAGAATGAGTGGGTTATCGGCTGCTGGAGGACTGGATGGTACCAGGGATGAGAAGGAGGAAACGAAGAATAAAAATGATGGGAATGGGGAAGGAGAGGGTGAAGAACCGGGAGTGGCAGCTGTAGTACAAAGTACAGAGAATGGAGAGAATGAGGCGGGAAATGAACAAGAAGGCGGTGATGGCGCGCAGGGTAATGGTGATAACAATGGTACTGAGAACGCTGATGCAAATTCGGCGGCTGCGCCTAAAAGAAGCGCGAGCGTGATGAGTACGGGGACTGATAAGAGTTCGAAGAGGCAGAAGAAATAAGATGTAGTTGTAGAGAGGGTATGAAAAACTTTACAGGCGTTAGGTGGCTACTCTGATGGAAGAGGAGAGCAGAGGAAGAGAAAGGAAGACGCTTCGCTTTTCACTTGTATAGATTAGTGTGATAGTATTTTTTTACCAGAAAATCATAAATGCTATGATTTACTCAAGTGCATTGCTATGTCTTGTAAGTTGAGTTGAGGTGAGGTAGAGTGAGATATGAAGTTTCAAGTCTGAACTGTGTATTCAAGATTACAATCTATCATTCTGTTCGTTTCTTTCCTATACTTTTCTCTTGTTTTCATTCCTCTCATTTTTGAAAGGCATACATAATACCTCATTTTGAAGAGCTTGGCCATACAATACAAAACCCCTGAGGAAGTATCGGTACAAACGTAAGGTGGCTTTACTATCATTTTATAGTATTATCTATCTCATATATCTCTGCCTATCCTATACCACATAACATGAAACTAAAGTCATTCCTCACAACATGACTGGAGTGTTTAGTTGCTCAATTTCATAGTTGCACCGTGGCCCAGTTGCGAAGTCACTGAGTGAAACGAGAGAGAGTATGAATGATAGGTTATGCATTACGCGTAGGAGTTTAATACTCAAAGGAGTGAAGAAATAAGGTGGTGCTGATATAAGGGTGTGATGACTATCTAAGTAGATCAAGTTTTTGTGTGATTGTTTTTATGGTTTGGGGAATAGATGTGTTGTGCTGTGCTATGTCTTGCTGCTTATTGGGGCTGGGGATAGGCATGGGAGTTGAGGATTGAGTTGAAATTGCTTGTGTTGGTGTTGGGGATTGGATTGGGAGTTGAAATGGTTAGCGGAAGTTTGTTGTTTGATGTGATGGGTTGGTGAGTGGAATAGTTGATCAAGGATGGAGGATTGCGAATAGGGAGGAGAGGAGCTTGATGGTGTATGGTAGAGATTTTGAGGCGCGATTTGAAGGATGGAGATGAGGGAGTTTGGGGTTGAGGATGAGGATGAGGAAGTCGATTTTCAGATTGTGATTGGAGCACTTATGGTGTATTTGCTGGAATGGAAAATCAGGTGAAGAAGTTCGAGGAGTTTGTGATTGGAGTTGGGGAAGATGTGTTGAAGATTTTGGATGGCATACTTCCTGGGCAGAGGGTCGAACTTAGTGTAAAAGAGAAGTAAGGAGATCATGCACTGCGTCCGCTATCATCGCGATGGAATTGAAAGAACCAGAATCTGTATCGCCACATTCAGACTCTCTGAGATCATCACAGAAAAGAATTTTGATCTTGTCCTGTGTCTCCTGTTAGATTGGTTATTCACATGTTGTGGGCATTTTATGGCGAACGTCATATATCGAGATCGATCTAAACCTCAGTAAAGATAAACACATCTTCTTTTTCTGGCGTATTGAATATACCGCGAAATACAAAGTTAGGAATCTAGCTTCAAGTGCAGGATCAATCGGCGCTGCTCTCTGTAATTGGCCCCCCGTCAACTGTTCGAGCCGAAGCGAGATTGAAGTTGAAAGGAGGGATTGAGAGATTTTGAGTACGTGAAGAGTTGAGATACTAAGTCAAATGGCGAGGGAGAGGAAGGAGGGTGATAGATAAACTTTCCCAAGGAGTGATTAGTTGAGCTTAAAGTAGAGCAGCGAGGAATCTTAGAGAATGAAGAGGAGAGTAGGTGACAAGATGGTGGACAATTCATTCCCATGTCTAGAAATAATATAGCGCTTTCCTGCAACCTCAATGTCCGAGTCTAATCTCAATATTGGCAAATCGGCAATTTTAACAGTAAACTAGCATCATTGATTCAGTTGCAATGCACTTTAGCAATAAAGTCACTTTTTCTGGAACCTATTTCGATATTCTGTGACTCTAGGTTCAAAACTCAACGCCCAAATGACGTTCAAGGTTCAACCTCAGTCCTGATTTTATAACATTCGTCTATCAATTGATGGAGAATAAGTGTGCGGTGGAAAAGGAGGGAATCTGCCCGTGTATTGGGGAAAATTTGATACCTTGTCCGAATCCTACCTAGATTCCAGTATTAATAATTATTCGGACCAACAATGTATATACATGGAGGGCTCGGAATGTTGTTTGACCGAATGTCGTTTCAATCGACCAATCAAATGTCTACCCCAATCGGCCGAAGGACGGAACAAAGCAAGGCATAAATACATCATCGGTATCGTTATCAACCATTCTCTCGAAGCGACACCACATCACGAAACCCGATTTTTAAATCTTCAGATAAGACTTGTTTGGTCTGAAACACACATTCTTCATTGACGGGATCGAATTCAGACGTGGCTGTTGCGAAGGAAGGGACGATAACGTCATGCCATGCTGACACACTTATTTGCCACCACAACAAAGCAAACCACTGCCATCAAATTGACAAAGATTAAGCAAAAAATCACGTTGTAAAATTGCAGTTCTCCTCTTCACAAAATGTCTCTGCCACGAATTCTCCTAACCCTCATCGTGAAAACAATTCGTTTCCTCGCCAATACCTTCGCGCCCATCATCCTCCGCTACATTTATCGCACACCTCCCCACCCTGCGACCTACACTCTCCGTATCCACACTACACTTCTCCCCGCCTCTCCCGGAACCCTCACTCTCCATATATACCAACCCCACGGCCACCAAATCTCAAAAACTGAGCCCCTGCCATGTATACTTAATTTTCACGGCGGAGGTTTCGTGATTGGGAATCCGACAGATGATTCGCTTTGGTGTCATACTGTCTCAACATTACAAAATTGCATTGTGATATCT